TAAGACTATTTCTAAAGTGGCGCATTCCTAAGATGTCCTATTTCTACTACTATGATCTATACGTGTCTTTGTGTGTATGAATTTATGGATACATTGGTTCATATTTTCTGTCTTCATAATTTCGATGGTGGAGGTTTAAGACCATTTAAGTGTCAAGCTTCCTTGTGGGTTTTTTCGCTCTCATAATGAAAACTAGGGGGAAAACAAACGCCCTGGCTTTGAGCTTTGTTTACCGCCTTTGAACTCAAGAATCTCCTTGGTTCATCGAATATTGGATTAAAAGAATCTGCAATAGGCATATGCATCAAATACAATGGATGCAATCGGGGTTGTAACAGTACCCCCCTATTGTGTTTTCAGGGTGGAGGGCGGTGTGGAAAGATGCCCACATGCGTTAATAAGTAATTTTGAATTGTTTTAAGGCATAGGTAATTCTAACTTATACAAGTGCGTAAGAAAGGAGCAAAAACTAGAAGATTGTAATTTGTGGGAACGGATAAACAACAACCTCAGATTCGCTAGCGTATATATTAAAAAATGGGATGTGCAATAGACTTACCTCCACGTAGTGCACCCTGGGCAACGTATACTCATATGGCAAAAAGTCTATTAATCTGCAGTTGACTTCTGATTTCAAGCTACCAAGGCAACACCGCATTTCATATTCGACTAATTTCACAGCACTCACCTCACCTTTTGTCTACCTTTGTGTTTGTCTGTCTCTTTTACGTCTGTGAATCACTATTCTGTCCCCCTCTCGACTTTTTGAGACTTTGATGTTCCTATTCCTTTCTGTGAAGCCCGAAGTCAACTACGGGGCTTACGATACCTATCATAACGCCTGCCATTTGAACTAAATGAATATATTAAAAATAATTTACTTCAATTTAGTCCCCTCCCTCCCATTATCTCTCAAATTCATTCATTTCATGAGTCGAATTTAAACGGTGCTGTTTTCCCTTTTACTAGCCAGACGGGCATAGACGGACACGGAACCCGCTACCGTCGATGTTACAGACGAACACTTTAATCTTTTCATAGGCCTAATTCTATCCTTCATTCCAATAAAATATTTCTAAGAAATTGAAGAGCAATAATTGGTTGTGTGAACAATAAAAAAAATAAATAATTTTCTCAAGCCTCTTTAGATAATTGTCTTGCAATGCTCATTTTTGGTAAGGGGAGACATTTCCGATCCTCCCTTGTAAGGAACCTGAATTCCCCCAAGCCGTTTACTACTCAAACTTAATGCCTTTGGCTATTGCTCTCAATGAGCATACATCGCTCAGAATTTAGCTCGTGAGCTTCAATTTTGTAAGCAAACGCGTTAACCATCGCATTTAAAAATACTTACCTTGCGGTGTATTTGCTCGGCAATTTACTATTCATTAATAGTGACAAAACAAGGAGATTGATTTGGTCGTATACTGAGTTTCCATCTGAAAAGATGTATTTTACATATAAAGAACATTAATTATAATAGATATTAAAAATTTAGCTAAATTGTGTTAAGCTTCTTTACTTTAAACCATTAACTTACATTTATCATCTTCAAATTTTCACGACAAAATTAGTCAAACCAAAAGGTGTTTTGTTACATTTCCCTAAGCATGGATACTTTTTGTCAAGTGCTTATCTGTCTATTAAAAGTTAAATGTTGTAGAAACTACTATTAATTCAAAAATCAGTTGGATAGATAGACAAAACTGACTTACCTTCAACTAAGTGGGGCAATCACTACTAAAGTGCTTTTCAATTGTGCTTGAGCAATGATTTTATCGACAACTTGAAAACATGGCATTCTTCATGAAAACTTTCCACATCGTCGTTAACCTGACTGTCATGAATTTGTATCAGCTTTTTCCATTGATAACCCGTGTCTTAAAAGAAGTTTTAGGTCTAAAATCTTATGGAAATTTTGACTCCAGTTTACTTCACTTTGATGTGACCACGACCCGAAAATTGCCAATACTGTGCAAAATGATTTCGTTAGTAAATTGAATTTATTTTTATACGTGAATCATTATTTTGTCACATATTTCTGAATAAGTTTCTCAAACATTTTTTAAGTTTATATCATGTTTGGTATACCTTGGACAGCTTCTAAGTTTAGTGATAACCATCGTAGAAACATGTGATCGAGAGCTAATTTCATAATATTGGTTCTTACCCGAATTAATTGCGCAAGAGTAAATTGTAAATAAAAGTTCCTTATAAAAATTACTATATCAAAAAATTAATGAAAATCATTTTGTGGTTGGTAAAGAGAAAACAGACTAATTAAATTAAACGTAATAATACGTAACTGTCGGTGTTCAGTTTGAAGGAAATCTATTCCATTCTTTGCCAATTAATGCTATTTAAATTCAATTAAGTCAACCGATCTAATTGCTCTGAATTTCACTGGCATGAATTCAAAAGAAATCAAAGAGATTTCTTATGCAAATTGAGCGATGAGACATTCGGCTACTGCGGGGCGAATTATAACCGTAATGAAGAGATTGGAAATTCAATTTTTCGAAATTTAACGAATGTATGACTACGGCCATTAATTGATGGGCTAGTTTAATGTTTCCCATACTGAGATGCAATCTCACACTGGGTTTTTCCATCAATATAAATTATTATGAGGCATTCAAAGTATGCCATCTCGTTTTTTATTCATTAATTCTATTACTTGTTGAAGTATAATATTTTAATAATAAGAAAATGAAATAACGATGAATATTTTAATTTGCTTTGTAGAGTTATCCACAAAAACGTAACGAAAAGTTTTCCAGTTCTAATTACAGGAAGAAACTGACGTCCAATACCAGAAATATTAAATTATGAAGGAAGGTGGAACAGAAAAATGAATAGTACGGTTAAGGTATGTGACTCACGTCATTAGTTTTGATTCGATTAGATTAAGGTTTGTGATATTTAATAAATAGAGCTGTCCACTTTTCACTATTCAAATTTTAAGAGTCTTCCTCTGAGTTGGAGTAACTTTACTCTTAGTATTCATTTACATGTATTATTTAATAATTAGGGATAGCTAATGTCGTTTCCATTCATTTTTCTCACACTGACTGAACTTCGACGTTTTTTTTATTTTCTTCGCAATTAACTCATTTACTTCATATTTTCCTCATTGCTTTATTTTACTCGAAAGTTTTAATGATTTGGAAATGCAAATTTAGTATACGTAATGGACATCACTTTGATGCAATTAAATTTTGGAAATGTATAAGAGATAGACCACGAATTTCAACTTTCCTAATGAAGATAGTCGAATTCTAAACAGACTAAGTTGCACTTTTAAACTAAGTTAGATTAGCGTCGATAAATTGGTCCACAATTTCGGAGATGATTGAGCAAATTTTCTCGAATTTTCTCCTGGGCACTGGTCGATCGAGCATTGGATTTCCCATGCAGGTAAGTGGGAGCGGAATCTCACTTCTTCTAAGTTACTGGCTCATCAAGCAATCACCTTTTGCTTATATATTGTGTGATGAAACTTAGTAATCATTTATTGCGTTGCTTATATTCTTGCAATTGAACGGCACCATTGTGCCTCTGGCTAACTGCTAATATCACAATGGCTGTCAAGATTTTAATATGGAAAAAGTTCCTTTATTTGCAATAATTTGAGAAATATTTCTGGTTTCTTCTGGGGACCGTAGGTTGCGTTTTATTTCCGGCATGAAGAGGAAACAGAAAGTCGACTAAGAGGCGTCAGTATAGTGATAAACTTGTTTTAATCAGGGAGCATGAATTATGCAAAGCATTTAACCAATTAGCAATAAATAAGTGTGTGAGTTGGCGCAGATAACTCTATTGGGGTCACTTGACAAGCAGATAAACACCAATCTGAATTGACAGGGTTAAAAAGGATGGCCTATAAAGTTGTATAGAACATGGGACACAGAAGGAAAGTTGTCCAGGAGATCAAGTGCGGATCGTAAGGGATATTTTCAGATCAAAAGTTATCCAAGGTTGACTCGTTGGATGGGAATACATCAACTTCGAGAAATAACTAGGAAAACTTAAATAAAAGTGGTTGGTGGTGAGACTGCGTTGACATAACTGAAAAAGATTGGATGGGATCTATTCGGCTTACCTGACAGCAGAGTTTGAAGGATAAATAGCTAGTATAGAAGTCCATATTAGTGGTGTTTTAAGCTTTATTGAGAATACTTGTATGTGTCTTAATTTATTTATTTGATTCTCCGACTACCTGAATCTATATTTCTTAGTAAACTCTTTATTCCGTTATATATATATATATATATATATATATATATATATATATAACGGAATATATATATATATATATATATATATATATATATATATATAATATAAACATTGTTTAGTGTAATAAGATATGGGATGCAAGAAGCGTGCGTGTTTACATAAGACATCGTTTAGAGCTTGACTTGAGTTTAGATATTCATCATTTGAAACTACATTATAGAGCATTCAGGTATTGCATGACAATTATCGACAGTTTTTACTGTAGTCCAAACGTATATTACTCTGAAGCGTTTCACGACTTCTTTTATTAAACTAGCGTCAGTATGAAGATAACCCAGCACACCCTCTATTACTCCCTTTTCCGATTTTCTCATTTCCAATTTTTAAAGAACCTTTGTTAAAATTTTGAATACAATAGTTGAAGCCATTAGATTAAAGATTTTCCCGACTAAATTTGCATTTTTGTGCACTTACTTAAATGATGTAAATATTTTCCTAATAGCATATCTTCTGTTTGTCAATTTAATTTTTCCTTAAAACTACCATACAAAATTGGCCCTAATTAAGAGAATTTACCCATAGGTAGAATTGCAATTCCCTTTTCAGTAACAGAAGCAATGTTTCGGATAAAATTCAACAAATGGAAGAAATCTTTTATGTGTGGTATTTCTTACTATACATCATATAGCCGTCACTCACAATCTGTTTAGCTTATATTTGAATGATTGGACTGCGAAAACTTAACAAGTCAACAAAATATCTCATAAATCCCTCGCTTGAGCATTATTCTGATCGCTTGTTTCCTTCGTTTCCTCGGATGCTACTGGAGTATCCTCCCTGGAATTACTAATAGTTCCACCTCCACGTTCATTTTCTTCATCATCCTCGTCCTCAATTATCGATCGGGATGCAAGGAGGTCACGGATCTTGAGTCCTGGGGGAGCTTTAGCTTTACGTCTCAATTCCGCTTCAACCAGAGCGCGCTGAGATTGGAGATCTTCAAGGTCATTGTCGTCACCGGTATTGTCTTGCTGATTGTTTTGCTGAACAGCTTCCTCATTTGAAGTGGAAATATGTCGAATGTAACCATGCTTAAAGGAAAAAAATTAAGTTTCTTAATCAATTTTAATAAATTTCTGACCATCGAAATTTTATTACATTTTGAGAGGTTGAAAAGTCTGTTACAAAGTGTCACCGTCATTGCTTGAATTCTAAACTAGGAACGTTTATTATAAATAACAGCTTTTTTAGACAATAAATAAAGGTGGATTGATGTTTGGTTTAATAGTGGAATTATGTTTTAAAGGAGTGTATATAGTTTTAAAATAAATCAAATATTTCTCTTAATTTTATCCCACGTTTATTGTCAAAAGCGAAATTTTATCTCATGGTTAAATTTAATAGCAAACAGAAAGGTCTAAATGTAACCAATTTAAAACTAAATATTGACCACACATTTATAGACTTTCTTGTGATCACATATGGTGATAGGTTTCTTTCGCCTACCCAGAGTTTTATCAATACAGGTCATAATGATAACGCGCTCATGATGTCAAGTATAGAAATAAACATACTATAAAATTTTTCTTGAAGTGGGAAGGTCAAATGCATAAATATAAATGGAGCCCATAACCATGCAGCATAAACAAACACTGCATCTTTAATAGCTTAAACATAACAGCAATTTCATTACATCTAATGCTTATTTTATACAATAAAGGCAATCACTTAGTAAATTGGACTAAATTAATAAATTTTGTCAACCTTCAACTACTAATCAAATAACCCAGTAAATAATTTAAATAATAAGTATTAATGATTAAAGATTCTGTTGTCTTAAAACCAAGCATAAGCTTTAAAGAGCGTTTTTGTACACCTGTATGTTAAGAAACATAAATTTCATCAAATCACATTACTAAAGTATGAAATAAGTTTGCTTTTCTCCATCATCTTTAAATTGGAATCGATTTAACACAAGCAGAATTTGAATTTCACTTCGTTTTATTCCAATTAACTTGGGAGATGCTTATATAACATTACATGGGCTAAAAAGCAGAATAAATTTTGGACAGAACGGGGATAATTTACGTAACATGAAAATGAAAGCAAAGAGCAATTACTATCCCACATATTTTGTTGCAAATCAACAATCAATTTAAATGTTATAAGAGGTAACTCAAAGACAGTTCCCTACTTAAAATTCGATTTATTGAGCAGAAGTTCAACATATATTGCAAGCTAGATGAAATTTAAATGTTAGCGCAAACTGTTCTAGACTTCATTGTGGAGCTTATAGCATTGATCCTTGTAAAGCAATTTTCGTAATGACCTGCACATACACTTCCGTTATGTTTTTTTTAAAATTAAGAAGTAGTATAACTAATTTGAAAGCTTAGTAATGGGCTGATAACGCGGCACATTTGTGAGTATTAAAACATCAGTATATCTTTTTTCGAGAAATAAATTAAGATATTCGGTATTCTGACGATTTTGAGAGAAGGAAAACATCAATAAAAGCTGTAAACAAAAGATAAAATTGGCATATTTTCATAGAAGAAAAAACACTTTAAAATTTTGGCGACCGCATCGCAACGAAAGTAATAAAAAATACGAAATTAAATATTTGCCTTAATGAAACTAATTCTGGTTCAATATTTACATAAATAAGATAAATTAAAATTAAAAAAGAGTGCAATTGGCATGAATGAATTCGCTTAAAAATTCAAGATCTTTATTGTGCATTCACCCTAAAATCGGATTGAATATAGCATTTAACGAATGAAGATGGTTCTCGCTTGGAGCAAAACTCTGAAGCAATTGAAAAATCGTTTGCCAAAGATTGATTCTCGACTTAAATAAGAAGATATTGAAACGGGAGCAAAGAATTTCCTTCTTAATTTTATAGAAATAAAATCATTTGAAACTTTTTATAAGTTAATGTAAATGCTAACATTTTTATCATTGCATAAATGGTTTTGGAAATTGAGTGTAAGGGATTTATCATTTCGAGCACAATTTGCCATCAAGATAAAATAGGCGTTAAGAGCTACCGAAATTGATTAACATACAAGAAGAGGGTCAAGAATTGCGCAATTAAGTGAGTTTTGAGGTGTTAGTTTTTGTGATGCTTTTTATTATTACGTAATTAATTTCTTAAGTGGGGGAAGGAGGGATTGCGCATAAAACCGTTAAATGACTGAAACTGTAATAGTATTTTTACCGATATTCCTTAACTGGGTAACGATACTCATAAAGCACTATTTCAATTAACCAGTAAAAAATTGCTTCTATATTTGATAATATCTAACCTAACGAACAGTTCATTCTTCTTACTTCTCTCTCATGCTCTTTAGTGTCACTCAGCTTCATTTTATTTCCTCAAAGTAATCTAATTGTTGCTGTTTAGGTCAGCTTTCTAGAAACTTAGACTACAGGAGATTATAAACTCTAAATATTTTACAATTTTATTGATATTATATGTTCCACTTGGCAGACAATTAAGTCCACAGCATTTATACCTTTAAATCCAACGTGCTAATTATTTGATCTAGGCTTGTCGTAGTTTAATCTTTAATTTTCTGATTTCTCATCTCAAGTACAAGATAGTAGGCATGGATCATTTCCTGAGTTGGGGTTCAAATTTTATTCGAGGTCATAATGATCAGAAGGGTATCTTCCCTTTCCTAATGGCTATATGGGACAAATATGTTAAATAACGGTAAGAGATTCAATCACTCTAATCAAAATGTCGACTGAAAGAAACATCGCCCATGTGTTCTGTTCAATTCCTCTCAACAATAGCCACAGACACCATATTTAAGTCACACATCATTAATGCCACCTTATTTGCATGTCATTTCTTTTCCAAGTATGACCATTACAACATCTATTCGCCTACGTCAGGTTCATTAACAACCTAATTTGAATATCATTTTAAGGTGTTAATCAAACAACACCAATACATTTTATGTAATTTGAGATCAAACACCGAAAAATGTTTTAGCACTCACGAGGGTTTTCTGCTTAATATGTAAAAATACAAATAACATCAATTTTTCTTGTAGTTCATGAAAAATTTGGTCACCATTAAAAAAATGGAGACAACCCCAATGATAGATTAAATTCGTCAAAGCAAAAAATGGCTCCCGATAAAAAAAGGTGTCAGAATAGAAAAGGCAAATTCGTTGACAAGTATCTATTAATGGGGAGTTCAATCGAGTGCTTTGTCGAAAAGGATTATTACAGTTTAATCAGGGCTTAATTGTTAAATATCCGCTACAATCTGTCAATAGAGAGGGAAAAGAGTATAAATGAAAACCAATGAAATAGTACATGATGTGGATATTGAGTCTTTTACGAACTTCAAGAAAGACTTAAACTTGATACTGATGATGGCGTAGGAAAGAAATACTAAGGATTAAACTTCTAATAATACAATTTATTTGTCAGTGTTCAAACCATGGCGGATATAATTTCAAATAACTAAGACGGAATTGGGAGTATTGTTAACACTTACTAGTACCGGTTAAAAGTGGGGGGAAAATTGGAATATATATACATAGTCAGTTGCTGTTTTGATCATTTGTGAATCTGGTCAACTTAAAACATCTTATTTTTGGATAAAGCATGCCTATAAATAAGAAGTTGCTTTTTTCCACCGTCAAAGAAGTATTTTGATTTCACAAATCTCAATTCAAGGCTGCTTGAAAAAAAATGGAAGAAAAACTTGCTTTTATATACAATCGACAGAATCAAAAATTGCAAATAAAAGTACGAAATAAATATCAAAATAGAAACGAAATGATCTCAAATCCTTGCTGAGCTCCCACTGTTAAGTGTTAATGCTTGAAAGCTATAAAGTTCGTATACTACATGCTCCACATATGATAACATAAGTGCGCAAACCACAAAGTCCCAAATTCGTATCAACAGAAATACTGGGTATTGTTTAGAAGTCACTCAGTACGATCAGGTTAAACATCTTCATGTCGGATGTAGCAAGCCTGTCAATAAGAAATTGATCAAGTACCCAGTTTTCGGTCGTTTTTTACCCTTCCCGAATTTTACCTATTTATGAATATTCTAATCTCATTGCTGTCCAACTAGATGAAGAGAAAATGCATATTACCGTCAGAACCACCAAACACAGAGAGGGTAATCATATAGTCCCTTCTATAATGTGAAATGAAAGAACTTTCATTTTACATTTAAAGCTTAGCATTTGAAATATTGTCCTTTCCCTCGAATTTGTTAATTTTTTATGTTTCTATAAACAAGCATCTTTTAAAAGTGCATTACAATCCAAGAAGACTGCCTAGTGGCATCTAAATGGCGCGGTAAGCCAGTTGATAACAATCACTTAGAGATTTATTAAATTTAATTCACTGTTTTGTTTCAAAATTTGCCTTAGGAACCAAAGTTTAAGGTTTAGATCCCTTTAATCACTTTTCATGAGTAATAAACAGGTCAATATAATGAAAGAATGCAAAAAATATGACGGGTGAGAAATATTTTTCACTATCCATCTGAACCAATTCCAAGCTCAAATACTCTCTTCATTGGGCAAGTCTTTTTTAAAGAGCAATAGAGGGAAATAAGGCTATGGCTAGAAAAATAAACTCTACGTTTTCTTATAAAATTTAAGCGGGTTAACTTGATTAGGGAGAATTATGGGATTGACAACAAGATTTGATTCCCACCGCAAAAAAGTTATAGAAAATATACCTTGGACGGAGGTTGGGAACTGTATGAGCTGATTATTGGAGTCACACAGCCACATTGGATGTGATGGGGGGTGTTGTCAAGTCAATACAGACATCTAAATGTCATCCTAATAAGTTATTGGTCGGTCACGATGATTATGCCAGGGAGAGGAATAAAATATTTCAATTTTCCTAGATTTAATCATTTCGTAACAGTTCTGCCTGGTCTTAAAGCTTCATTAAAGCAGGTCATTAGTTATTACCACGAAATGAATAAAATTGACATTGACAACTCTAAATTATTTTTTATTTTCAATTTCTTGCTTACAACCAAAGCGCGCATCTAACAATAGTCAAACCCTTCTCCGCATTACTCAAATTCAAATTTTCCCCAAATATCTGTGGGACACAAAAATTAATGACTAAACTAACTCCAAGCATTTGAAAAAAGGTATTAAATTGTTTACTTTGGGTTTAAGGATTCGAACTAGTCATGTCTGGAACAATAAAACGACAATCAATTTATCAATACGGATAATTTGTTGCGTGAAAAGGGAGTCTATTAGAGTTCGTTAATTTCATTTTGAAGGCTATCAGCAGGAAAAGGTTGGAAAAAACGATCAGAGATTGATTAAATAAGAGTTTGAATTACCAACTTGACAGATGAATGGTTTAAACGATAGTATGGGAACAGTGCCTTCGAATAAAATTGAAAGGGGGGCGATTTGTTCAAATCGTGTGCATTTATTTAGCGAAAGTGTGTTAATAATGTTGTAAAGTATTTTTACCAAGAAATTGACACAAAATGAAATGATCAAGAAGTGTCGGGAATAAATGTTTCTTTTTGAAGGAAATCTTAACCATTGAACTGATACTTCGCTTACTCGACTTCATAGGACTTTTCGTTACTTCAATTGCGAAAAACCTAAACTTGGTCAATTATACTTAAAGCTTAGGAATTTTCTTAATAAAACTTCCTCAGTTGATCAATTTCTGGCAAAAGATTAAACTATGCGGAGGTTCAATGGAGGTTTGGAACACCAATGAAACAAACATACATCTTTGTATTCCGATGAAAAATAACTATTTAACTAATGTTCTGTTAAGTTCACACTAAAAAATAAATCACCTGCTTTCATTCTAGGAGTATGTAATTATATAATAACTCATTACACAATGAATAGATATATGTACTTTATTGACAGAACATATTCGTTTAGTTAAATATTTTTTATCACCGAATCACAGAAATCAGCATCAGTGTCATGGACTCTACAAGCAGAAGTGCTATAGAGAGTACCTTCAGATGGAGCAGTGTATACTTAAAGAGGCTCTGTAAACTCATAAACTTCTTCGTCCAGTAGATAAATGTTAGAGAAATTATATGAAAAAAAATGTATACAATCACGTCATCTTCATTTTTAGTATGAATTAAGATAATGAAAGGAGATAAGTATGATAGGAGTTAAAATCGAATTCAGATTTACATGAAGCTTGGTTCTCCAGACGTCTTAACTTTAACCAATTTCGCTTAAATGCTTCCATTCAAAACTGAAAACACTCTCTCATCTCCCTTTCCCACTCAATTTTTTCATTCCCTCAAGATTAAACGGTTCAAAACATATTTGCACCGACATGGGAAATTAATACCTTCCATACAAATTCAAATTTGATATAAAATCTGATAACCGAAAGGAGTACTCACCTCCAGGCTGCACTGATGAAGTAGTTTTCCGGGTACCCGTTCGCCATCAACAGAAATAGCCTGTCGTAGCCAACTTTTTCTTCGACTTTGCGAATCAATTGGGGTTTTTTTATCCGATTCATCTTCATGCAGGGCTTCAAATACTTCAGTTGGGGATAGGGAGGGGTCTGATTCATCTAAAATGATGGCAGCCTTAATTCGACCCTCAAAAACGGGTTTTTGAGTGTGTTTACGCATTGAAGTCGATGATGATGATGATGGTGGCTGTTCACGATCTAAAAGTGAAAAAACTCAACTTTAGGTCTCAAGTCAACAAAGCTCCAGATGCGAGCATCTATTGTTTTGCATATTACTGTAACGGAGCTTTTCAAAAGCCTCAATTTAATGCAAAAGTGCCCTAAAATGGAATTTTCCGCTCCACTACCTTCAAATTCAGATCAAATTAGACATTAGTATCGCATTAATCTAAAAACAAATCGTACATTGAGGGTAAGTCGCACATTTTTCAGTAATGAAAGTCCCAAAAGGACCAGGTTTCTTCTTCCGAACAGTGCTGCACAAACGGCCGATTCACATATTTGGAGCAAATTCCACTGTATATTAGAAATTGACTTAATTCTATTGCAATTTAAGGAGAAATTGGTAAGTTAATCTTTATAGCCTATAATTTTGTGAGAAAGCAAGCCATATATTTCCTATGAAGTCAATATTTAACATATTATTTTAAGTTAAAACATAATCTGAAATTGATAAAGCACTTTCAAATTATGAAAATATTATATAGGCAAAAATACTAGATAGGCTATTCAAGCATCAATATCAAAATACGATATTTCGTAATTATTTACATATATATGAGGAAGAAACGTAAGACTGACAAAATATTTAAAGAAATAGAGTTGAATAAATGAAATCGAACGCCCACCATTTAAAATTAATAAAACTCAATGAGATTGGTCTATCTATTTGAGATTTAGACAGCAAAAGTACTTGAAATATGGCCCCTATTTGAGAGTTTTCATTCCAATATTCCCTTAAGAAGTACAAATTCGAAAATGTCCTTTTTAGCTATCTAAATTAAGACACTGGCCAAAATGAAAAGAAATACTACTTAATTAAACAGTTCGATCACTGACTTTTAAGTTTACTTAACATAGGCAGAGTCATGAAATCAAAACTGGTTAGAAAATATATTGAAATGTTAATAAATTGAAGCATATTACTCAAATAGATATCAAATTTAAATTTCGTAAATGAAACAGCAAAATAATTAACTCATAACATACAGTGAGATCACAGTAATGAAAAATAACAGTCATAACTCAACATTTTATCAAAGATTTTACTAAATGGATAAGCTTAACTGCAAAAGGTAAATTGGTATGAACATTTAAAACACAACTTAATAATTAAAAGACATTAAACTAAATGAATAAGTACCTTTGACAGATTTATGAGCCAATGAAATCAGAAGTAGATCTTCACGAGTAATTAATAAAGTAAATCTAACGAAACATAATGCACGGAACCAAGATCTGGATATTTAAACAGTATGCAGTTAATCATCTAATAAGTACTCAGACAAAAAAATTAAAAACATACTCAAACGGAACGGTTTTCGAAGAATACTCTTTTCCGGAAAGTGCTTAAGTTCTTCCATGGTGAAACCAATTAATCATCCGAGAAAGGATATTTTAAATATGGGCTTTGGATTTGGTAGCTTATATTATAAAATTTTACAAATTTAAACACATTCCGAATTTAAAAGTGCAAAATTCTATAGCAATATTTTTAATAAAATTTGTTTATATTCATTTTTTATTTTATGATTAGAAAGACTGATATGTTAACTTATTTAATTCTATCAATTGCTCGTTTTTACGGATAATATATACATGTTCAAGAAAAGAGCCGAAATCGCTTTGTAAAAAAACCCTAAATATCATACCTGCTTTCTTATACATATTAGTTATAGTAATAAAGCTATTTTATGTAGATAATAAGTCTATATGGTTTCAATAGCACCATATTTGTTTCGGAACATATTTTCATCAAATATGTTGGAATTCCCCCAATGTTTCAAAGAAAAAATGACGTTAATCTTTATTATTGGGCTTAAACTATTACATTTGATTCAATAACCAATGAGTTGACACTTTCTCTCTTTTAGTAATACTTTAACTTCTATTTATAATACTTACAATTCAAAAATGAATATTCTATTTCGGCGTGAAACCAGAATGGGTGGACTTTTCCCATTCAAGCGAGAATCTTCAATTGGATATTGCAGGTTTAAAAGAAGAATTGATTGAAGTGTAACATATTTTGGACCCTGATCCTAATTCAAATAAATAACTCTGAAGTTCTAATGAAACACATAATATTTCGTAATTAATTGTCCATATCCTTATTTTCTCTTTAACTGTAAAATTTTAATTCGTTATATGTGCGTTAATGTTTTTTCAATAATTACTTAAGTTGATTTTTAGTGTATGCTCGTAAGTTCAACGAACTTTGTTAAATACAAGAAAATTACTACTCCCCTTAATAAATTAGCAAATCTGCATTGGATAGGCCTTATTTCGACTACCTTTTGAAACTGCTACAATTCAAAGGTATGTATTTTGGCAAAATATTAAAATTACTTTATGGTTATATTCTAGCTTCTCCTTCTCTATCCGCTGGAGAATTTGTCAGTTTAAAATTGACTTGTTTAAAACAAGGTTTATTAATTTTAATAAAGCAAGCTGAGAAGCTCTGAGTAATTAAAGAGTGCTATTTCACGGTCGATGATTTGTTCTTCCAAGTGTAATGCTGAATGACCACATTGTTTAACTGATAACTTCAAAAACCGCTTTCTAAGTTCAGATTGAATCATATCGAAAGCTGTTTTCATCTGCTCTTCCCTATAGAAATCATTGATTGACTCCCAGATTTTGATTTTGCGTCTCGAGGAAAGTTTTTATATTATTCCTCATTTTCAACATAGTGTTAGCAAATTTATTAAAGTACAATAAAATTAAGAAAAGCGGAAAATGTTGGTAAATAAAGAAACTAAGATATATACCTTATTTCAAAGAAATTTTTTCTTTACGTACCAATAATAGGCCTGCGAAACTCATTTACGTCTCTCCATTAACGGCTTCCTAACAGTCCGAGAGTTCTCAATTCTATCAATATTACAGTGATCGTAAATGATCGAGCATGACTGTTGCAGCATGAAGAAATATTTATATTTAAAGTCTGTCTATTCTCTATGCACAAGTGAGTGGCCTTTTCCTGGTAGACACAAGTATAATTGTGTTTTTGGAGAAAAGATCTATTTAGCATGGTTTTAACAAACAATCAGCTAGAAGAAGTGCGTTTAGGACGTACTGTATAGACGGAATGCAAAATTGATCATTGATAGAAATGACCAGTGATATATAAGGTGTATCTTGTAAAGTATTAGGATATTTCGAAGCCAAATGAATACTTGGGTAAGTAAATTCGACATAGATTGGCCTCGTCTTGCAAAAAAAAATGAAAGCGAATTCACCAATCCGAACAGTTCATTAACTGAAGTTTCTTCCTCCATTAATGCTCAGTCTATTTCTTGGAGCAATAGAGAAGTGCATAGGCAATTGAAAGAAACTGTAAGTCTAGCATTGCCTGTTAGCGTAAGCGATTTATCATTATTTTATAAGTTGAGCTATAGTATTCACCAGTTCAGTCATCTATTCACAATACTGATGGTATATTATAGTACTGTGGTTAAAGCCTTTAATTTTATTGTGACTAAATCTCAGGTCTTTCTTTGTTTTCCTTCTTCGCACTCTTTACTTCATTTGTTTTATTATACTTACGCTACTCAGTACGTGCTGCTTCATCATCATCGTGTTTCTATTGAACAGTGTAGAAGGCAATTTTGGAGCATGACGTGTATCCAATCGTCTCGATGTCTACTTAAATGGTGAAAGCAACTTTAATTTGATTCAGTTGCTTCGCCGTTTGGCGTGCCACATTGTTGCAGTAAAACGAGGTGTGCGATAGACATACCTCCATGTGGTGCACCCTGGGCAACGAATACTCATAGGGCAAAAAAGTCTATTAACCGACAGTTGACTTCTGACTTCAAACTACCATGACCCCACTGGATGCCCTATTCTACCACTTCCACAGTAATCATCCTACCTTTTCTCTGCCTTTGTGTCTGTCTCTTTTACAACTGTAAACCACTCTTCTGTTCCCCATCCCTCGACTTTCTGTTACCTTGATATTCCTTACCCCTGTGAAGCCCGAAGTCAGCTAAAGGGGTAATGATAACTATCAAAACGCCTGTCATTCGAAATGAATAAATAAATAAATTGTTGCAGCAAAACTATTTCGACTGATACAACACGATAAAATGTGCTGTGGTTTAGACGCTCTATCTAAGGTAACCTGGGTCATTTGAAAGCAGTCACTAACACGTGCTAGTTTTCTTATCTTAGTCATGTCGATCACATCCGAAGTGACAGAAATAAGGAGTGATGGCATACAACAATATCTTAAAAAATGCACCCACCATAAATCTTCATTCGATAGCTACCTTAAAAGCATGTCTCAAAGCAGTTTTAATATTAGTGTTCACAGCAAATACAACTCTGTTAAAGTGAAGCCCAAGTCATCCGAAAAATTTTCTGTTTTAATTAGGAATCCATGTTTGTGAGCTATTACAATATTTTTAAATTCAAATGACTTGGCGTCAAAAATAGATTGGAAATTCATTTAAAAGTAAATTAATCAATAGAAATCATTTCCGCTTTCGGGCACAGAATTTTGGTTTTGATCACAAGTTATGGCTGAAACCAACAAGGAATATGAGGTGGAAAAAATTCTGGATATGAGATATCGGAACAATAGAAAGGAATACCTAATTAAATGGCTTGGTTACGCCGAGTCAGATGCCAGTTGGGAACCTGAAACGAATCTGAAATGTCCAGCGAAGATAAAAGATTTTCACCAAAATCGTTTCAATAACCCAAGATCTATAAACTATTCTGTATTGGAAATAATTTATTAGCCTAAATTAACATTGCTCTTTAGAAAAGAATTTCATTTCCGATTCCTGTGGCTGACCCGTATGGCTTCGAGCGCCAACTTCCAGTTGAAAAAATTGTGGGTGTAACTAGGGCAAATGGAGAAATAATGTTTCTCATTAAATGGTAAAATTTTTTGAACTGCACTTTTTTATCAGTTTCAACTCATTTTAGGCAAAATTGCAATCATATTGATCTGGTATCCTCCGCGGAAGCCAAGCGTAAGTCTCCTCAAGCGGTTATTGCCTTCTATGAAAAACACTTGACACTCAATTCTCTGCCAATAGACTTTCCCCATCCTCTGTCGTTTAATTCTTGAATAAATGAATTCAGTATGTAATGTTTCACTTTTGTTACCTTAATTCGTGTGACGCGATATGAGTGAGTTTAAGAACTGATGAACTAGTTCCCGACTATCGCCGGTATGAAGTCCAAAGCTTCGCATTTATCATTATCATCCCACTAGTTCAAAGTGCTCTAGTTTCTTGGATGCATCGACTGGTCTGGACATTTCTCCCCCATTTAACTCCACGATGTTGATGTTATTAGTGAAATAGTTTCATGGAATTTAAGAATTGGAGATAACTAGTGCGCTTTGTCTGGGTTATCCCATATGACAGTTTGAGAAGTTTGTGGAGTAGTAGTATTAATCACTTCCCTAGCTAAACTTGTAGCGACACTACTAAATTCGTGTATTTTGACTTGTTTTGGCAAGCACCTAAAACACTGCAACAAGAGAATTTAGAGGCGTTACTACCTTTTCTGTACATAAATAACATGCATCCGAATGTCATCACTGGTAGAAGGATTTCAACTGTATTAATTTTTACCATGAAGATTCTACCTCGACAACCAGTGGACCCAAATGAATTAAGACTTCATAAGATTCTGCGTTATTCTTATTTGTTTAAGCTGAGAAGTAATTTGCCAGGAGACAGTGCCATTGCGGCCCGAACTTCTTAACCGTAAAATTCAGCTGAAATTGGTTCTAGGACATCAGGAGTATCTTATATTCGTTTTAATAATAAGTAATGTAGGCAACATTGTGGCCAAAATAAATGGTGAAATTGGACCCCAATGGGTTCTGTCAGGGGTCATAGATGAACTTGCTAAAGCGTAGGGTACACAATCTACTACAACTACGAGAAGGTTAAGAGAGACATTTTCAGTCTCAATCTTAAACTCAACATTTTCTTTGCTTCCCTTCTTCGCACTCTTTACTTCATTTACTTTATTAGACTTGGGGTGTGGGATAGACTTACCTCCTCGTGGTGCACCCTAGGCAACGTATACTCATACGGCAAAAAAGTCTATTAACTGGCAGTTGACTTCTGGCTTCAAACAGCCATGATCCCATTGTATGTCATATTCGACTACTTCCACAGTACCCACCTCACCTTTTTTCTACCTTTTCTACCTTCGTCTTTGAAACGTTCTTCTGTTCCC